CCCCCCCTTACCATCCCCCTCCCTCATCACTCCCCTCCATGGAGCCTGCACCTCCTTGGGTTGTGATCCACTTAAACGCACTTATAGGTAGTCACTGGAGGCACACCATCTCTTTTACCCTTATGAGAACATGGCTGTATCCTGTTCCTGGTAGAAGGGCCTGGGGGCAGCTCTGTGTCCTCTTCCTGGTTCAGCCGGGCAGTTGGATGGCACAGCCAACGGGTTGGCTTTTCCCACTGATTTCTGGGTTGAGGTAACACATGTGCCGGCGTTCTGTTCCTGATGGTAAATGGTTTAGAGTCACAGCCAAGTGAGGTATGGGCCTACGGGGCTCCCCAAGAGGCGGGGCCTGGCCTAGGTGGCTTCTTATGCCTCCTAGGCCTTTCAGGACGCCCCTACTCCTGAAGTCCCCTCAGCCGGACCCTGTTTCCTTCTACTCCTAGCCCCAGGTCAGCTCCTCTGCCCTCACAACTAAAGAGTGCATCTTCTGAGCGCTACTCTCGGCTGGACACTTGATTTGATTTGGGTCAGAGCAGCTGGCTTCATTGGTGAAGTTCCTTTGAGGATGGCTGTGGGCCTGGGCAAGGCCTGGTGTGTGTCGGGAAGGATGGCCTCCTCAGGGTGGGGCCCGGGGAGGGCGTCTGAGCCAAGGGAGGCCTGCCCTGGGCCCGGAGCTCTGAGAGCAGATGTCTGGAATCGGGAGGGATGGGAACAGGAGGGTGGCCTGCCCACCCTGGGGAGAGCGAGAGGAAATTGAGGACGGCTGCTGCTGGGTGGGAATTTGATCCGTTAGAAGATGCCGTTAAGCGTAGTCCGGGGAGAAGGAGAGAATGAACGCTGAGGTTCTTGACCGGCTTTGAAGGTGTTGGTGTGAACTCGAGGTTCAAATGAACTCGAGGTTCAAAGCCAGCCCAGGCAGGAAAGTCCGTGAGACTCTGATTGCCAATAAACCACTAGAAAGCCAGAAATAGAGCTGTGGCTCAAGTGATAGAGCACTAACTTTGAGCTGAGTTCAAGCCTAGGACCAGCCAAAAATAAATAGAGTGAGGGACTACCACATACCCTCAGGGGGACCCATGGAGCACCCCGTGGTACTGTCAGGGCTCCCCAAGAAGAAATCGAAGAATAACATCAGGGACATCCATAGTTGCTGTTAGTACTCTTACCAGGGACTCACGCGATCCGCAGCGCTGATATGAACTGGGTAACCTACTCATGCAGCATATATTTACTGATCAGCTACTTGAAGACTTAGGGTGGAAAGCTGAAACACCAGCAGTCTACACATAAGTAGAGCATGAGAATGAGCAATTACCAAGGAGAGAATGTTGCATAAGTTCCAGAATGAATTTCAAGAAAGAAATGGTGCTTTAAATCTGAACTATCATAGAAGGTAAGGTTCAGATTTCAACTAATAAGTATCTGATGGATTTGGCCAGAAGGAAAATCTTTTAACTACTAAGGTGAGGAGCAGAAGTCCACTTTCAGTAAGTTTAAAGGCTGGGCACTAAGCGAAGCCTGCAATTTTAGCTACTCGGGAGGTTGAGATTTAAAGATAGCAGCTCAAACCTAGTCCAGGCAGAAAACTCAGTGAGATTCTCATCCCCAATTAAAAAAGCCAGAAGTGGAGCTTTGGCCCAAGTGGTAGAGCACAGTCCTGAGGAAAAAAGCTCAAGGACAGTGTTGCAGGCCCTGGCCACAGTGCCAGCACAAAAGCAAAAGAAGTGGATGTGCAAGTATAGATACGGTGGGCAAGGCTTCCTTCAGAAGCTTTTTGAAAAGGTGAACACACACAAGGGCGTTATCCTGTGGGAGGAGGTGACATGGAAGGTGAAGGATTGTCACTAAGGAAGCAGGACCCTTGAAGACAGAAGGGGGAGGGGCAGAGCGTGCAGGCTGGGGGAAAATGGTTTCCATTGGTCAGGTGGTAAGTTTGGACACGAATTTACTATTCTTTCCCTGTGTTGAAGGAAAAGACTGAGTGGAGCTTTGGTAGAAAGCTTGGCCAGAGCTGCGTGTGGAGGTGAAGAGCCGGAGAGCAGATCTGGTTTTGGCTCTTGTTTGTGAATGCGAAGTGTAAGAAAGCTTTTTGGAGTGTAAAAGAATTAAACTGATGATGGCATGTTTGCAGTAGTTACATTGAGTCTCTGATGTGAGCTGCTATCGCTTTATGGAGGTGAAGTGAGGCTTTGCCTCTTCTTACTGCTGCCACAGCCACAAAAGACACAGTACTCTGGAGGCCAGTGTTTCTCCACTGCCCCATTTGGACATTTCTGAAACTGTCCTTCAAGTCTGAAAGGGTGCTTTTGCATAAGCAACATTTCTATGTAGGTTTTTCAACGCAAGCCTTCTTTTAGGGATCCTCTGAGAACATTAATACATTACATCATTTTTTTTGGGGGGGTCCTTTGTGGGAACTGAACACAGGGGCTGGGTGCTGTCCCTGAGCTTTTTCTGCTCAGGGCTAGTGCTCTACCACTTTGAGCCACGGCACCACTTGTAGTTTTCTGGTGGTTAATTGTAGAGAAGAGTCTCATGGACTTTGCTGCCTGGGCTGGCTTTGAACCACAATCCTCAGATCTCAGCCTCCTGAATAGCTAGGATTACAGGTGTGAGCCACCAGGGCCCAGTCCCTTACATTTTTTTTTTTTGGGTCCGGTCGTGGGCCTGAACTCTGGGCCTGGGCACTGTCCCTCAGCTCTTCAGCTCAAGGCTAGCGCTCTACCACTGGAGCCACAGAGCCACTTCCGGCTTTTTTCTTTTTGCTTATGTGGTGCTGAGGAATCAAACCCAGGGCCTCATGCATGCAAGGCAAGCACTCTACCACTGAGCCACCTTCCCAGCTCCCCCCCTTACATTTTTGAATAGCTCTACTGTATCTTCTTAAGGGTCAAAGGAATGATTTCCCCATTCTTCTGTTGATTTTTAAGACCAAAAGCTAAAGTGTAGCATATTCTAAGAGGGACACACACTCAAGACTTTCCAGGTCACTTTATGTACTATGTAACTTTTAACACTCTGTGTTTGCCCTATAAGCTGATTCCTTTTTCAGAACATTGGTTTCAGTGTTTGATTTGTAAACTGTGTGGGCCAGATGTGGTCCAAGTATTGTGGGAGCCAAGAGGAGGGAGAGCCAGAAAGGGGGGTTGGAGGGATGTGTGGGGGCACATGACGTTTGAAGTTGGCCGGGAAATTCTTGGAGAGTACCTGCCTGGGGAGAGCGTAGCTCTGCAGGGAGCCGTGGGCCTGCGGAGTCTGTGGAGGGCAGGGAAGTCCAGGCGAGTGCAGTGAGTCTGTGGAGGGCAGGGAAGTCCAGGCGAGTGCAGTCTAGGTGTGCTGGGACAGCGGGGCAGGGCCTGCTGAGGGGTACGCTGCTGGCATCCACCCGGAGGTGGGGACTCGTTCAGATGCTCTCCCCGACACGCATGGTCTCCCAAGCAGAGCCATTTCTCAACGCTATTTCTAGGTTTGGTTTGAATTATGTGGTTGGTATGCTTTGTGGTTCAGGTATAAAAAAATAACCACCTGCTCATTGAAACACAGTCTCCTGGGCCCTCTGGGTGAAGTAGAACCACGCTTCTCCTTGTTGCCACAAGGTGGCACTGGCCTCAAGTTTAGTATACTACACGTACATGGGGGCAGTTAATACGCCCCTCTGCTTTTCTACTTACACTTGTCTAATATCAGCTTCAGTCACGTGGTTATTAGATTTCTATCTGCATTAACGAAGTCTCCTTTTCCTTTACCATTTCTGTCTTTTTAAAATACTTTTTCCAAGTGGGGCACCAGCGGCTCATATCTGTCATCCTAGCTACTCAGAGGGCTGAAATCTGAGGATCTCAAGCTCACAACCAGCCCAGGGAAAAAACCCCATAAGATTCTTATCTGCAATTAGCTACCAGAAAAGCTGCAAGTAAAGCTGTGGGTTAAGTTGCTAGCCTTGAGCAGAAAAGGTCAGGGGCAGCAGCACCAGGCCCTGAGTTTGAACTCACGACCAGGAAACAACAGAAACAACCACCTCCCCCTACCCAACTTTTCAAATTCGTTACAGAAATTTTAAACGTTCCCGTAGTGTGCAGTTGAGAAAGGGGAAGGACTTCATAACTTCTCTCTTACGGGAATCTTGTGCATTGTTGTTGGTTTTTTGTTTTTTTGTTTTTTTTGGTCATGGGACTTGAACGCGGCCTGGGCGCTGTCCCTGAGCTCTTCTGCTCAAGGTGAGTGTTCTACCACTTTGAGCCACGGCACCATTTTCAGTTTTTGAGTGGTTAATTGGAGATAAGAGTTTACAGACTTTCCTGCCTGGACCGGTTTTGAACTGGGATCCTCAGATCTCATCCTCCTGAGTAGCGAGGATGACAGACGTGAGCCACCCACTGCCACCGGTCTTATTTGGGATATTTTAGTAACTCTTCCTGATTGTATAGATGCGTTTTTAGGTGGTGTCAGGACAGAGGAGGAAAAGCACGCACTATATTAATTACCTTTGTTTTTCTTCAGTTTGCTTTGTTGACTTACATATTTTATTTATTTATTTATTTGGGTCCAGTCGTGGGGCCTGAACTCTGGGCCTGGGCGCTGTCCCTCAGCTCTTCAGCTCAAGGCTAGCACTACACTCTACCACTTGAGCCACAGCACCACTTCCGGCTTTTCTTTTTGCTTATGTGGTGCTGAGGAATCGAACCCAGGGCCTCATGCATGCAAGGCAAGCGCTCTACCACTGAGCCACCTTCCCAGCCCCAGACTTACATATTTTAATTTTAAGATTTTGTGGTACTGAGGTTTGAGCTCAGGGCCTTGTGATTATAAGGTAGATGCTCTATACTTGACCCATACTCTAGCCCAGCTATCTAATTTTAAAATGACAAAGTAGTATTGAAAATATTGTCGATTGTACAGTATTATTTACTAGTTGTTAACTTTTACTCATTTTAAGACATAGTGCCAGTTGCTACTGCCCATGATTGTCATTGTAGCTATTCAGGAAGCTGAGATCTGGGGATTGTAGTTTGAAACCTTTCCTGCCTGGGCAGGAAAGTCTGTGAGACTCTTATCTCCAATTAGCCACCAAAAAGCTGGCAGTGAAGCTGTGGTTCTAGTGGTAGAGTGCTAGCCTTGAGCAAAAAAAAAAAAAAATGCTCAGAGACAGTGCCCACACTCTGAGTTCAAGTCCCAGGATTTGCAGCACACGCACCCACACCCACACCCACACCCATACTCATCATTAGGTCAGTGACTTTCCCTGAAGTAACCTATTTGGTTTACATTATTACATTTTTTGGTCTCAGGCTGGGACTTGAACTCAGCTTTGATGCTTGCTTTCACTCTGGCTGGTGCTCTACAATTGGAGCTGTGCATCCAAACCTATCTTAACGTTTTTCTAAATAACAGTTTATCAGACAGGTAGTAGCAAGCAGCATTGTTTATTTTTGAGTGTGGTAGGATAATTTCTTATTTTCTTGTTCTTGATCTGTAGTTCTTTTAAAATAAATGTGTATTAGCTGGATGCTGGTGGCTCACACCTGTACTCCTAGCTACTCAGGAGGCTGAGTTCTGAGGATCACGGTTTGAAGCCAGCCTGGGCAGGAAAGTTAGTGAGACTTACCTCCAATAAACTACTTAGAAAAGGCCAGAAGTAGCACTGTGGCTCAAGTAGAAGAGTGCTAGCATTGAGCACATAGAGGCTCAGGGACAGAGCCCAGAACCTGAATTCAAGCCCCAGGACCGGCAAAAAAAAAAAAAAAAAAGGTATCTCTGTAGGGATACCTGTGTCTTTAGTCGGGATCAGTGTGCAAGTTAGGTAAGTAGCATTTCCCTATCATGAAGTAACCGTTTTTCATGCTATGTTCACAGGTCTTTCTTCATGTGAAACAGTCGGTGCATTGCTGTTAGCATATGTTGTCAAAGTTGTTAATTAAATGCAATTGTGAAATAAATACTTATGTCTAAAAGAGGAACGAACTTCTGCTGTGAAGGTGTGAGGAAGTACTGCTTTCAGACTCTGGTTTGTAGGTGTACTTGTTAGACTCGTGTTTTTGTTGAGGGAGTAGGTGGGGTCTTCATCTGACTTTCAGGATCAAATGTATATAATATGTGTCCCAATGGCACATAATGAGTTAATTTGTTATGTAATAGGTTTTTTTTGTAAAAAATTAAAGAGTTTGCCAGGGTGGGCTCAAGCCTGTAATCCTAGCTACTCAGGAGGCTGAGATCTGAGGATCATGGTTCAAAGCCAGCCTGGGCAGGAAACTCCGTGAGACTCTTATCTCCAAGTACTTCCAGTTTAGCTGAAAGTGGAACTGTGACCCAATGGTAAAGCACTAGACTTGAGCAAAAAAAATGCTCATAGATAGTGTGCAGGTCCTAACTTCAAGTCTCAAGCCTAGCATATAAATTGAAGTGCTTGTTACATTCATTGCTATTTTGCTTCCATGTTGTTGCTTTTCCAGATCACCTTTTTGATCACCTTTGACGATGGCTGTCTCTCTTCCAGATTGTTTCTGAGCACCTTCACCCTGGCCGTTTCAGCTGGAACTGTTTTGCTGTTACCCTTCTCAATCATCAGCAATGAGATCCTGCTTTCTTTTCCTCAAAGCTATTACATTCAGTGGCTTAATGGCTCCCTGATTCATGGTTAGTACATATTGCTAAATATAGTCATAACTAATGGTTTTTAATTTTTTACTATAGTGTAATCTTATATTTTTCTTTCCTAAGTTACCTTCCTGTTTTGAAACTTCTTTTCTTTTAAATATTGAAGTCCTTCCTTACTAAAGTCAGAAACCTGGATTTTACTTAGCATTCCTGTTCTTAGTTGTGAAAGGTTTTTCTCTTGATAATCAAGAGGCAGTCTTTATATTTACTATGATTTTGATGATACAATTTCATGTGAGTATTTAGGAAGGGCACTTTTGTTTCTCTGGTTACCAGATGATTTCATAGTTTCTGTTTTGTTTTCTGTTTATTTTTTTAGTCATTTCAAAACACATAACAGGATAGGGAAGTACAAATTTTAATGCCAAGTACAAATTTTAATCTGATCTAAATAAATAATGATTGGCTTACTATAGATAACAAAGCATGTTTTGTTGAAGAAAAGTAGATCTGTGTTCCAGTGCCAGCTCAGCCATTCTCTATCAGACATTAGGCAAGGCACTGTTACTTTTGGACTTCAGGCTTTTGTTCTTTAAATTAGAATTTAAATAAAATAAATAATGAAAATAAAATTTAAATTTAAATAAAGCCTACCTCATAGGCTGGTTGTATGGAATCCCCAACAGAAAATACTCATCTCTTAATAGGCACTTAATGTTTTTTTTTTTTTTTCAACTTTTCTTTTTTTGGTACTGGGGATCGAACCCAGGACGTTGCACTTGCTAGGTAAGCGCTTTGCCACTGAGCTACATCCCAGCCCTTAATAGGCACTTAATGTTTAAGAAGCTGTTTACAGTTATTTATACTGTTAGGTAAATTTTTTCTTTCTGAAGAATTGTACTTTAAAAGATGTATTAATTTAGTGTATGTACACTGAACTTTTCTATAGCATGTTGGTATAATTGTTTTATAGTTATCTGGTAAATTGATGATAGTTGCTGGAGATTTTGATATCTATTTTGATCTTCCTGCTCAGACTTTTCCCATTTGTAAATTTTTTGTTACTAGTTACTGTGTATTTGACTAGTGTCATTAGTCATTGGTACTGTAGTGTCAATACTTATTTTATTAAGGCTATATAACTTGATAGTTAAGTAGTATGCTAGATACATTATTTCTGAACTCCAAAAGTAGGTGACAAAATCAGAGCACCTTGTTTACAGTTGTTTTTTAATGGACCAAATAATTTCCCCCATTTTATTTTTTTGGTAAGTTTTGGGGCTTGAACTCAGGGCCTGGGCGCTGTCCCTGAGCTTTTTTGCTCAAGGCTAGCACTCTACCACTTTGAGCCATGGCGCCACTTCCAGTTTTTTGGTGGTTTATTGCAGACAGGAGTCCCATGGACTTTCTTCCTGGGCTGGCTTTGAACAGTGATCCTCAGATCTCTGCCTCCTGAGTGTAGAATTACAGGCATGAGCCACTGTGCCCAGCTTCCCCATTTTAATGAAGAGACATTTGACAATTAGTGAAGGTTGTCTTTTGGTGAAACCATATCTTGAAGAAGAGTAGTCAGTGGCAACTATTTGCTCTGCATTTGATTTCCTTCATGTTATATTTTGAGCTTGCTTTTCAGTTAATGGAAAAATGTCCTTCTTTAAGAACACTTAGCTAACTTACCATTTTACCACAGGAAAATGTATCACAAGCAGGTTGTTTCTATTAAATTTGTAATACAGGTTATTGAGTTGTATTTTCCAAGCTGACCTAAAGAAGCAGAATAACTTCCTTGTGATTGATATCATGCTTAATTTCTAGGGTTACTATGAAAAGCTTTGCTGCTTCAGACAGATAAGACTTCTATTTTAGGTGCTATTTTTATTATTATTTTTTCCAGCAGTGATGGTACCAGTTGTGTCATTCCTCAAGCCACTTTTGTATTATTTACTCTTGGGGGAGGGTTTTGCTCTGCGCCCAGCCAGCCTGGCTGCGACCCTTCGTACGTGCATGTGCGTTTTCATGCTGCTGGGGACGGCAGGTACGCACATGGGATCTGGTCTTTGCTGTTTCCTCTGCAGCTGGGACAGCCACTGGATTAGATGGAGCCAAGAACTTTATTGCCTGATCCTCCACCCAAGTAGCCAAGATTACAGACATGAGCACTAGTCTGTTATGTTCTAATAGAACAGAATGGTGAAAGTTACAAGATGAATAGTTCTGTGTGTAAGACAAGAGAGAGTTTCATGTCTCTGGTTGTTTGAGAAGTATACGCTTTTTGTAGGTGATGCTGCCTCCTTGCTGCCTTGGTTACTGTGGCTGCGGGCCTCATGGTGAAGCGTTTTCTCATTGTAATTTTGCTTTTTAATAATTTTTAGTGAGATTGGATGTCTTAATTGTTAAAAGATACAAAAATCTAGAACACTCATAGTTTCATGTTCTTTGTTCCCTTGTTTTTTTCTTTTTGGTGGTACTAGGCTTTGAACTCAAGGTCTCATACTTGCTAGTGGGGTGCTTTATTATTTGAGCCATACTTTCAGATGGAGTCTTATGAACTTTTATGCCAGGGCTGGCTTGGAGCCTTAATCCTCTGATCTCCTCTGATAAATAGGAGCCAGCACTCTGCTCTGTGTGAGAGAGAGAGAGAGAGTGAGTGAGTGAGAGAGAGAGAAAGAGAGTATGCATGTGTGTGTGTGATATTGGATTGTGTGATCTCTTGATCTGTGAAAACATTTTTTTTAACCAAAAATATAGATGTTTTTGTAGTTCTTATTTTTAATCTTATTTGCTCTCTTGATTTCCAGAATATTTATATTTTGATAGTAGTTCTTCTTTTTCTATCTTTGGTTTCTCAGATTGTTTCACTTTTTTTTTTTTTTTGGGTTCAGTCGTGGGACCTGAACTCTGGGCCTGGGCGCTGTCCCTCAGCTCTTCAGCTCAAGGCTAGCGCTCTACCACTTGAGCCACAGCGCCACTTCTGGCTTTTTCTTTTTACTTATGTGGTGCTGAGGAATCAAAGCCAGGGCCTCAGGCATGCAAGGCAAGTGCTCTACCACTGAGCCACCTTCCCAGCCCCTGTTTCACTTTCTTAAAATGTGACAGACATTTGCTTTTTCTTCCCAATACTTTTGTTTACACTTATTTAATTCATCTGGAGTTTTACAGGTAACCATCTTTTTTCTCCCCCCCTTTCCAAAGTTAGATCATTGTCCCAATGTTGACAATTAAACATTCTTATTCATTATTTTTTAATGCTGTATTACTTACTTGGTAATTGTTCCATTGGAGTCTGTTTCTGGGTTGAAGTGCATAGATTTTGGAGTCAAATAGTCCTGAGATTGAATTTTAGCTCTTGTGTTTACTAATAGCAATCTTGAACATTGCTCAGACTTTTTTTTTTTCTTCGTGAATTCTTTTTTTTTATTATTGTGAAAATACTGTACAGAGGGATTACAATTACATGGGCAAGATAGTGAGTACATTTCTTATCAAGCATTGTAGCCTCCTCCTTTGTTTCCCCTTCCCATCCCTTCCCATCCTCCCTCCTCCCCCCCCCCCCCCAACCCCCCCCCAAATTGTAAAGTTTGTTTTCAACATGACAACTTGTACTTCTCATTGTTGCAACAGGTCCGTCATTTAAATAAGGATACAGGTGGACCTGTTCTTCTTTTTTTTTTTTTTGCTTCACGTATTCTTTTTTTTTTATTTATTTTTTATTTGTGAACATACTGTACAGAGGGGTTACAATTACATGGGCAGGATAATGCGTACATTTCTTACCAAGCATTGCAGCCTCCTCCTTTGGTTTACCCTTCACATCCCTTCCCAGCCTCCCCCCTCCCCCCCAATCCCAACCCTTCTCCTCCCCCGCCCCCCCGACCGACTTGTAAAGCTTTGCTCAGACTTTTTAAGTGTCAATCTTTTATTTGTGAAGTGGATATAACAAGGTCTAGTTGATAGAGTTTATTATTTTTATTTTACTTATATATTTTTTTACTTTGAAATTTCATTTTTAAAATTTTTATTCTTGGGCTGGGAAGGTGGCTCAGTACTGGTAGAGTGCTTGCCTTGCATGCATGAGGTCTTGGGTTCGATTCTTCAGCACCACATAAGCAGAAAAAGCTGGAAGTGGCGCTGTGGCTCACGTGGTAGAGGGCTAGCCTTGAGCTGAAGAGCTGAGGGACAGCGCCCAGGCCCAGAGTTCAGGCCCACAACCGGAAAAAAAAAACAAAAAACAAAAAAGTTTTTATTCTTCTGTGCTGGTCCTGGGGCTTGAATTCATTCAGGGCCTGGGCTCCGTCCCTGAGCTTTTTTGCTCAAGGCTAGCACTCTACTACTTGAGCCACAGCTATACTTACAACTTTCTTTTTGTGATTAATTGGAGATAAGAATTTCATGGATTTTCCTGCCTGAGCTGGCTTCACACAGAGTAGCTAAGATTACAGGCCTGAGTGACTGGTGCCCACCTTTTTTTTTTGTTTTTTTTTGGTTGGTTGTGGGGCTTGAACTCTGGGCCTGTGCACTGTCCCTCAGATCTTCAGCTCAAAGCTAGCACTGTACTTCTTGAGTCACAGTGCCACTTCCGACCTATTTTAGTTATCTTTTTTCTTTGTTTTATTATCTTTAAGTAGTTACAGAGGAGTTGCCATTTAACAAAGAAGTTCATGAATACAGTATGTCTCGATCAGTTACACCCAGCCCTTCCCTACCCACCCCTCCCTCATTCTTTATTTTGTAGAATGTACATTTGATTCTTGACTGCATTTCCCCCTCTTCTTTGAATCCATTTACCCTTTCCCCTGGATAGAATACACTTTTTATGTAATTTTTATCGCACAAAATGTAGGTACCTACCCACAGTCATCCGATCTGTCTAGGCCATCTTCCCTCCTCTGCTGGGTACCTCGCTGGTGGGCATTGCCTGGGACACAGGCCTTCACCACGCTGCCCTCAGACACACATGCCCATGTACCTCGATTCTGAATTTCCTTGTCTCCAGCTTTCTATCTTTCTTCCAAAGCTCTGATGATCCATTCAGACCCCGG